ATTTTGTTTCTGGTGTCCTTTGCCAGCTCTTTGGTCTTGGCCATGGTGGAGTTTGGAGTGTGGCTGTTTGAGGTTGTGGACAGGTGTCTTTTATACTGATAACGAGTTCAAACAGATGCCATTAATACAGGTAACCAGTGGAGGACAGAGGAGCCTCTTAAAGAAGAAGTTACAGGTCTGTGAGAGCCAGAAATCTTGCTTGTTTGTAGGTGACCAAATACTTATTTTACAGAGGAATTTACCAATTAATTCTTTAAAAATCCTACAATGTGATTTTCTGGATTTTTTTTTTGTCTCTCATAGTTGAGGTATACCTATGATGAAAATTACAGGCCTCTCTCATCTTTTTATGTGGGAGAACTTGCACAATTGGTGGCTGACTAAATACTTTTTTGCCCCACTGTATATATATGTGATATGTGATTTATATATATATATATAAATGTCTGGTTGGGCCAAGTTGTCATATTTATTGTCATTTTTATTGTTTTACAATTGTTTGATAATTTCATAATTGTTTTGTTTACATTTAGTTTTATTTAATGGCAGATTTCATTATGACAACCATCTATCTGTGATATCTGATATTACACTAGTATTTTAAAATGGATACAAAGCGCTTTAGTGCAGTTTATCATAATAAATTAAACAAGACAGAATATTTTCTTCAGAACAACTGTGTGTGTTTGAATGAATTGTGCTAAAGGGAAATACTCCATACCCTAAAAAGCGCTTCATGGAAGACCGCAAACAATGCAGCTGTTATTTGCCTCAAAATGCCTAGAGGATGCTATTTAACTGATTATCCTGATATGACTTGATCATTAGTCAGAGTTAATTAAATACACTTAACAGTAGGTCCAGATTCATACAACAGTCCCAATTATGAACATCTTGGCCTCAGTAATTGTGGGAAAGGTGAAACCTGTTCCGTGCTGTCTCACAGGTACCTCCTGCTGTGAAATAGCTCAGATGAACAGCTTATGTAAGACAAGAGTGGGGGGTCAAGGGGCTGGGTGGTCTTTCCCCACTTCTGCAAAAGAAAATGAATCCTGAAAAATCCATAAAGAGGGTTAACAGTGAAACACAACCAATCTGTGCTAATGTCTGTAGTAGTAAGTCAGTAACTTTACTTGTATAACACTTTATAAAACAGAGAAAGACAATTATGAGTTAATAACTGACCAATTTTTCTTTTGTCCAGATCTGTTATTCAGAAATGCATTAAAAGGTAATTTTAAAGACAGTGACTTGAATACACTGATTTCAATGTTTGTAAAAGTAATTTATTCATAAAAATATAAATATGTATATATAGGCCATATAATATAGGCCTATTATAGTATATTAGATGTTTTACCTTGAAAACATTAAAACATTTTTTAAAAAACGTTGTGTACACCCACATGGATTTAAGGAAAGTATTTTTCTACTCTTTCCTAGATGTTTTCATCACTTGCCATTTTTACAGTCATTAATTCTAAGTATTTGTGTAAAATGTTAACAAAATTGTAGGAAACTAACATCAATACTTCAACAGAATGTTAACTTTCAATGACCATGGCACATTTAAACAAGACTTTTTTTTGAAAGATTCTCCTTTGTATCATCTCAGCATCGCAGACATCCTTATTTAATTGTAAAAGTATACATACACACACACACACACACACACACACACATATATATATATACAGTATATATTTATTTATATATGTAATGTGGCCTATATTAACTAAATAGTAAAGGTTATATATCACGTAGAGGAAACGATTTAGCACTAATATTTACCTCTGCTTGATAATAACACCAAAATATTTGTTTTATTCTCCCCTTTCCACACCCAAGCGCAAATCGTAATCCTTGATTGACAGCTGTGACGTCCAATCACAGCGAAGCCTCCAACGCTTTGCGCGACATTCTATCCGCTCATTTGCCACAGAAACGTCATTGCCTCCTGACCAATCACAGCGCACTTCCGAACCGCTTGTTTCCCGCCCTCTTCGCTGTGTCTGTTACATTCTTTCGCAGTTTGTATCAAAGGTACTTCCAGTTGCGCTTCATACCAGTGAACCCTCAGCATCTTTATTGGGGTTATTAGGCGCTAAGTAGTAATTATTTTTTATGTTTATGTTCCTCAAAAGCAGAAGGGAGGAGAGGAGCCCGTCACCCGTCATCAGTAACATCAGTAAACAGCAGGTAACGTTAGGGATGTTGCTCTCCGACACTAATGCTAATCTGAGGCGGGACGGTCTGTAGTGTGCTGGAGACGATGGATGATGGAGATGTGTGGGATGTTTTATACCGATTACGGTTTTTTAATAGCTGGTGTGGCAAGCATCATCCGTTATCGGCCGATATCACACTTTAAACACTATTTTAATGACATAGGACTCCTAGTTTAGCTGCATGCTGTCATTTCGATCTTAAAAACCTCCTCACGTGCTGATCAAGCCCCTAACTGATGTTTATTTTGGCAGTGTGTTGTGTTTTTTTTTGGCTCTGTGTTTGTTTCACCCGTTAGGTTTTTTAGATTGCTGAAGGCTATTAATGATTAACTATTTTGTTATGCAATAAACCCTTTTGATAAAGGTCGGTGTCTTTGTGGGAGGATTAAATTGTGATTTAATCGATAAAGCCATGCAAAGTCTAGCACCTGTTCTTTACGGTTGTATATGTCGTGTTAAGTCATTAATTTTTTTTATTGCTTGAGTATTATTTTGCTTCCTTATTTCAAATAAACACATTCCAGCGTTTTAATTCAATATATGTAAATTAATTTAAGTCGTTTTTTTAAATTGGGTTAAAGTTCATTCAATTACTTTTTGTGCATCGCCCTCTTCTGGTCACTGGTGAAAGTGCCTCATTTGCATGTTTCCCGCGGTGTAATTTAGTAGCAGAAAGCGGTGTCCCATGGGATGGCGTGGGATTGTCTATTTGGATAGCCTACTCAAATAGTATTTTGAACGTACTTTCTTATCAGAACATTGATTAATGATTAAAGATTTTCTCCTAATTTTGATTATATGTATTTACACATTGTGCACAAACACTATATATATATATATATATATATATATATATATACACATGCATACATACATATATACACATGCATGCATACATACACACACACACATATATACAGGTTCATCTCAATAAATTAGAATGTCGTGGAAAAGTTCATTTATTTCAGTAATTCAAAATTCTAATTTATTGAGATGCACCTGTTATACATGTGCAAATGCATAGGTATGTAAATTTATTTTAATAATTCTTTGACAATTTAAAGCTTCTTTTACCAAGCATGTGTACATCACTGTACATATTTATTTATTTCAGGTTTATTTGACAGGGACAATGCACATCAATAATACATAAATGTACAATTTGCCAGAAGGCTATTTTGCATCTGCAGTCCCTGGACTGATGGTAAAATTGTTACCCTAAAAATATAAAGAATTAATCAATACATAATACTTACATACATACTCCAAAATACATATAACATTCACACTATTCCTAAAAAAAACATCCACTTAAAAGTTATACTATACACAGAACCAACAAATCAATACAAGCTCACTCATACACTCAATCCAACTGTCAAACAAAATGACAAACAATGTATCAATAATATCATACATATTATGAGATGAATCTTGAAGAATACTGTAACAGTGTTTTGGTTTAGCAGACTGGTAGTCATGAGGGAAACCTTTGCTCCTGGTTGCCATAACAACACTGTTGCCATAGATACATCTTGTCTGGATGTAGATGTGGGAGGGATTTTATTTATTTATATATAAAGTCTAAGTGTCTAAACTGTCTGAATAAGAAATTAAAGCATGACCAGGCTCGACAAAGGCAGAAAGAAGAAGAGTTTTGAAGGAAGTTTCCCTTCGTTTACACAGGCCATAAAATGAGCCCTTAACAGAAACGTCTGTATCAGCACTCACTGCTCTTGCCTTAATGGATCATAACTCAACATGTTGAACTAGTTGATTGATTCATAATGGTAGGTGGATGGTGTTCAACTAAGTGTAAGTGAGATAAAGTGATGGACGTCGGGAGCTGCCTGCGATCATGCACTTGTATGCACAAATTACTGTGCCTTTGCTGCAGTGAAATTTGAGCTGCCGTTTTTAAAAGCCTCTGTTTGTTTCACACTCTCTTTAGAAATGGCAGAAGCCCATCAGGCCGTGGCGTTTCAGTTCACTATCACTCCAGAGGGGATCGACCTGCAGCTGTCCCATCAGGCCCTGAGACAGGTCTATCTGTCAGGTCTCCGCTCCTGGAAGAAACGCGTCACACGGCTGAAGGTAAACACGCATTACACATACTAATGGCTTTAAAGGTAACATTGCTATTTGCAATGCATTTAACTTCCTTTACGTGATGTATTTTATATGATAAATCTGCGATTTGGTTTAAAACAGCTTGTATTGTAGATGCTAGACTATGATATTATTTTATATATATATGTGTATATATGTATATGTGTATATAAATATATATGTATGTATGTGTGTGTGTGTGTGTTTCAGAGAGAAAGTTAATTCATTTGAATTTTTTTCTTTTCTTTTTTAGGATAAAATTCACAATTGAACAATAAAATGCACAAAGTCTTTATTATAAAAGCAAATCTCATATTGTTTTTATTTTGTTATCTATTAAATCCATCCATTTTATACTTATTTTTGTTTATGTAATACTAGTGCATTTAATGTTGATAATGGATCTGTATACTTGATTATAAAAAAAGCACATTTATTTTAGGATAAAATGAACAAAATACACACTAATATATTTATTATAAAAGCAAATAGCTCTTTTTGATTTCATGTTGTCATTTAGTAGTAGTGTATTTAACTTCGATAATGCATTTTTATATTTGATTATGAAAGCAAACATCTATTTATTCTAGACTAAAATGCACAAACGAACAATAAAATGTAATAGATCATTTTGATAATTTGTCGACTACTAAATCTGCCTGTTTTGTTTTTTTGTGCATGTAGTAATTATTAATGTCGATAATGCATTTTTTTTGTTTGATTCTACAAAAAAAACATATATTTATTTTACAGCAAAATTCACAAATGAACAATAAAATGCAGAAATTAACACTAAAATGCACAATATAATCTCTATTACAAAAGCAAATAGCTCAGTTTGATATTTTGTCACCTACTAAATCTGTTTTATGTTTATTTATTTATTTATTTTTTTAATGTCAGTTATTCTCACAGATTCCCCAGCTGGATTTCATAGTGTCTTTTGTTTATTCTGTCCTGTACAGAACAATGTGATCACTGGTGTGTATCCCGCCAGCCCGTCCTCATGGCTGTTTGTCGTCATCGCGATCTTGGCCACCATGTACACACGCTCGGACCCTTCCATGGGCCTCATCGCTAAGATCCAAGAACATCTGCCGGTCAGGTAATAGAGGTGACATTACCACAGGGAAATCTGATCCCTTGCTCTTTAAAGACAGAACTTGCAAAACAAAGGAATTATCTGCAGTGTGAACCACGTTAGTGGCTCAAAGAAACACTGAAACTTTTGTCATCCTCTTATGTAACTCGCATTGAAACTTTTTAAAAGAATAGGGGATCCCACAAACAAACTCATGTAAATGCCCGAGGAGGGTGTGTACTTTCACACACCTTGTTTCAGTTAGTTTCAGAAAAAAGCAGAAGAGTTATTCTACAAAAGAGATGCAGTTTTGTGTCCCTCATATGTGTAACAATGACTTTAATAATGAATAGATGATGGTAACTTTGTGAGACTAATATAGAAAATTCTAAATATATTAACAAAAATCCAGTCAAGGTATTTTTGGGGGGTTTTTTTGGTCACAAAGAGCCCTTTTTTTCCCCTCTATTAGCATTTCTGATTAAAACATATTTGGAAATGACAGCTAGCATTTAGACATTATTCTTTAATACACTACCGTTCAAAAGTTTTTTTTTAAGTTATTCTTTTTTTTAAGAAATTGATACTTTTATTCAGCAAGGATGCATTAAATTAATGAAAAGTGACAGTAAAGACATTTGTAACGTTACAGAAGATTTATATTTCAAATACATGCTGTTCTTTTGAACTTTCTAGTCATCAAAAAGTTGCTTTTTTCAGCATTGATATTAACAAAAAATGTTTCTTCATTTCTTCTTAAGCAGCAAATCAGCATATTAGAATGATTTCTGAAGGATCATGTGACGCAGAAGACTGGAGTATGATGCTGAAAATTCAGCTTTGCATTACGGGAATAAATAACATTTTAAAATATATTCAAATAGAAAACAGTTTTCATGAAAACATATTTTAAATGGTAATAATATTTGAAAATATTAAAATTTTTACTGTATTTTTGTATTTTAAATGCAGCCCTGGTGAGCCTAAGAATCTTCTTTAAAAAAATATTAAAATATCGATCCCAGACTTTTGAATGTTAATGTACATATTTTTAGATTTAATAAAAGATTTTAATTATTGTTTATTTAATACAAATTATTGTTATTAAAAAGAATTTAAGTTGTGTCTCCAGTTTATGTTTCAACGCTATTATATTGTTCCCTTTTTAAAATAATGATAAAAAACTGTCATAATGACAATATCATACTTTTAAGATGAGAACTTAAGCACATTCTGTTTTTCAGTAGGGGACAATAATCAAATATATAACCTGATTTTGCATAGTAAACAGTCATCAAAGAAGTTCACTGAAAGTGATAATGCAACACTTAAATTATTAGCCTGATAGGATATTTACAAGCTTTCAAAAATGTGACTAAAAATCAACTTGTCAGACTGCACTTGTTTCATAAGCTGGGTTTCCACCCAAACTTTCATGTAAGACCGTTCTGGGAGGCAATTATTCAGAAATACTTTGACGACAGACTTTGCTCGGGCATTTCAGAATGACCATAACAACATTTCAGATGCTGTGCAACTGGATCGGTCTGCTGGTTAGTCATGTTATGTCGTCCCATAATGCAAAGTCACATGACTTTTTTGATGCTCATGGAGGAATTTATTCGGCATTGCGTTTCCATCTCCCATTATTCGCATTAACCCTTTTTTGCACAAGTCAAATCCAATTTTGCGATTTTATTTAATTTTTTCCCGAAATTTGGAATTTCCATCACTTGATTCTGATGTGATACGTCAAAATGCACATAAAAACAGGGTGATGGAAACATAGCTATTGAGTGTCCCAAAAAACGAATAAAACATTAAAATATTGCATATAGCAGTGTAATATTGTGTCTCTTTATCTGTAGTGATTCTCTGAGCATTCAGTGTCGGACAGTGGTTTCTGCCGTGTTGTTCAGCACTCTGCTCTGGCTCTTGCTGATCTTCACCATGAGGCTTTGCCTGAAGCAGTTACTGTCGTATCACGGCTGGATGTATGAACAACACGGGAAAGTGTCCAACACCACCAAAATCTGGGCGGTTAGTACAGTCATACTATCAGCCACACCTAACCTACTAACTTGTTTTAGGTTGTCTTGGAGTATGTGTATGTTTGACACATTTCAGGGTTTTGTGCCGCAATATCCTGTCATGTCAAACTTTAAATAAAACTAAACTAAACTAAACCACCCAAACTGTAATGGTAAATAATGGTGAAGTGTGTATATTTACGGCATTGGTGGAGCCAGTGTTGTTGTGTCGGGGTTTGAGGGAACCATGCTATAAATATTTTACTTGTACCTGATTGTCAACACATATTAAAGGGGTCCTATTATGCACTTTTACAAAGACTTGATTTTGTTTTGGGGGTGTACTAGAACAGGCTCTCATACTAGGTTGTTCGAAAAATTATTTTTCACATATTTTACATTATTACAACACCACTCTCCTCAGTCTGGCATGAACGGCACGAATAGTTCCTGTATCAAATGAAGGCCCGCCTTCTGATATACGAAATGTGTTGTGATTGGTTAGCTGGGCCAATGTGTGTTGTGATTGGCAGCACTTGGCGCCTGGTCAGGAAATGTCACGCCCCTTACCAGCTTCAGTGTAAATATTGCGTCAAAATCAAATCAATTTGAGCGAGATTTAAACCCGGACGATTGTAACACTCTTAAGTTCGTCTGCCTTGGGAAAGCTAGCGTGTCTCTGACATAGTGATAACACTCGTTGCCTTCTCTAGTGCAGCTCAACCAGGTCTCGTCCCATTCGTCGATATTTGTGATATCTCAAATCCCGGAAAATATGCGTTGTAGTCCAAACGAGTCATTTGTTGTCATTTTTAAAAAGTGATTTCTGTTAAACAAAATATGTCCTTTTGAAGTGGAATTTGAGCTTTGTAACTTTGCAGATCTTTTTTTATGCTCAAACAGCAACATTACAGACTAACTAAAGTTGAAAAAGTGAAAAAACATAATAGGACCCCTTTAAACTGGATAGGAGAGTATTTTAACATCAAAATCACACTTTACCTTCAAATATGCTTGTTTTCAGGCCATGGTCCGGATCTTCTCGGGCAGACAGCCTCTGTTGTACAGCTACCAGGGCTCTTTGCCTAACCTGCCTGTTCCAGCAGTCAAGGACACTGTTAAGAGGGTGAGATCATCATTATGTCATCATCTTCACCCAAATATATCACTAAACCATTTTAAATGAAAAAAAACTTACATTCCAAGCTGTCTCTCTCACATATAGTACCTGGAATCTGCGTGTCTGTTGATGAGCGATTCTGAATATGAGAGGATGACAACTCTGGCCAAGGAGTTTGAGAGCAGTCTGGGAAACCGCCTGCAGTGGTACCTCAAACTGAAAGCCATGTGGGCATCCAACTATGTGAGAGCAACCAGCAAACCATACACATTAACTTCACGCAATACATGTCAATCTTCTAATGCAACCTTAAAAATGCTGTTTGTAACCTCGTTTGCTTCTGTAATCTCACATTAAACATTCAGGTTGGCTCTGACATATAAGGAAATGTAGGATGGAATTTGATTTTATGCAACAGGAATTGATTGAATTGTAAAAAAAAAAGTGGACATTGCTACCAAAATAAAGGTGTTTTGGGGAGAGAGGTTGAAAGTAAGAAGGATTTGTGATGTCGGAGTGGAAACAATTGCATTTTTATTTTATTAAGTTTATGAAAACAAATATTTTATTTAGAATAAATTGTGCTAATAACCAGAGATGAAGAATTTCATGTTTATTACATATTAAGTTTAATATGGGCTTTACATACATACCATTATTAAATATTAAGTTTAATATGAGCGTTACATACCAAATTAAAGGTGATTTGAGGAGAGAGGATTTATGACGTGAGTCAAAAATCCAAGTCGTGCGCACAACAATTGCATTTTAATTACATTTTACTGAAGGATTACATAAACAAACAGTTCAATTTAATTTAGAATAAATAGTTAATTAGCAGAAATTAGGAACTTAGTATTTAAATTTATATTTATTAAATATTAAGTTTAATATGGGTGTTACATGCCAAATTAAAGATGATTTGAGGAGAGGATGGAATTACATTTTTATGAAAGATTATGAAAACAAACATTTATTGTTTATTTTGAATAAATAGTGTCCTAATATGCAGAGACAAGGAATTTAATATTTATTAAATATTAAGTTTAATATGGCCATTGCATAGCAAAACAGTGGGTGTTTAATATGGGCTTTACATAACAAAAATAAGTAATAAAAATATTATAATTTCGAATAAATAGTGTACTAAGTTGAGGAATTTCATATTTAATTTAATATTTATTCAATATTATGTTTAAAATATTAAAATGAATATTAAATGGAGTATTAATTTAATAAGAAGGCAAATAGGGTCAGTTTTAATTTCATGTTGACCTGAAAATCATATTTTGCTAGTGCGTTTGAACTGTAGGATGGTACAAATATTACCTAACCAGTTTTTTTTTTTTTTTTTTTTTTGTTTTATTTTTAGAATTTTTTTTTTTTTTTGTTGCACGCAGAGACTCGAGTTGGAGAAATGAAGAGCCATCTAAAGATCGTCGATCTGCAGGTATTTATTCAATATTATGTTTAAAATATTAAAATGAATATTAAATGGAGTATTAATTTAATAAGAAGGCAAATAGGGTCAGTTTTAATTTCATGTTGACCTGAAAATCATATTTTGCTAGTGCGTTTGAACTGTAGGATGGTACAAATATTACCTAACCAGTTTTTTTTTTTTTTTTTAGATTTAATTTGAGAATTCTTTTTTTCTTGTGTCTGCATCTTCAAGGTCAGCGACTGGTGGGAGGAGTATGTCTACTTGATGGGGCGTGGCCCACTCATGGTCAATAGCAACTACTATGGAATGGTACGGCTCCCAGTGAAAACATTTTCAGATGCATTTTAACAAGCAGGAATTTCTAGTGGTAAAGTGATTTTTTTTTTTTTTAAATCAAGCCTCTTGAGTCCTTCTCTTTCATCCTCAGGACTTCCTGTACGTGACACCTACACCGATTCAAGCCGCGAGAGCAGGGAACACACTGCATGCGTGTCTCTTGTACCGCAGGAAACTCAACAGAGAGGAAATCAAACCTGTGAGTCCACATTGCAGTGCTGACCGATGCCATTTGGCGAGGGGTGAAACCTCTCATTGCCCCGAGCGATGACCGAGATTGATCGCAGAGCTGTTTTTAGCTGTGCATTGAACTTTGTTAGGCTATGGATGGGTAATGGAGACTGTGATGGTGTATAGGGAAGACCTGCAGGTGTTTGCATAGTTTTATTGAAGAGAACACATAACGGGAAAACTTTTTCTCTTTTTGAAAGTTTAGTGTGCATCGGTCAATCTAATGGTATACACCATAAAACGTCATCATGAGTTCAATCTGGTTCTTTATGGCAACTAAACTAGAGTCCAATTTACATACTAAGCAGATTAGCCTATTTATATATCCACATTTATATATCATCATATTGGCAACTTGGCCCATTTTGATGATTGAACATTTAAACTTTGCCATGTGGAGTTTAGATATTCATTACTGTCTTAAAGTTACAGTAGCAATAACAGCTTAAAGCGGTAGTCCAAACAAAATTTGTAGTAAGAATGAATATTATTTTTAATAATATTTTTGGGTGCTCTGTCCCTTTAATTGTGGGTGAAGGAGGGTGGAAAATACTTATGAAAATGAATTTTTGATTCAAGTTACCTTGACTAACAGTAGGCTATAACTCTGTCTTTTAGAGTCGTGTACCAGTTTTAAATGTTCCTTTGTGTGCCGCTCAATGTGAGAGGATTTTCAACACCACACGCATTCCAGGAGAAGAGACTGGTAAGGCTAGATTTTTTTAAATGGTTTTGAAATAAGTCTCTTATGTTTGCCCAGGCTACATTTGTTTGTTTAAAAATACAATAAAAACAGCAATATCATGGAATATTATTACAGTTTTAAATAACTGTTGTTTATTTGAATATACATTAAAATTTAATTTATTCCTGTGATGCAAAGTTGAATTTTCAGCATCATTACTCCAGTCTTCAGTGTCACATGATCCTTCAGAATTCATTCTAATATGCTGCTCAAGAAACATTTCTTATTATTATCATCAATGTTAATAATGTTAATAAATAAATGCTTCATATTTTTGGAGAATCAATGACACGTATTTCAGGATTCTTTGAGTAGAAGAAAAAAATATATATATTTATATATAATAAAATTAATATATTTACCATATATTTGTTCTTCTCTTTAATAATCTCTTTAAACTGACAGTTTCTTCAAAATGTTAATTTTTCAATCTTTCCTCTACCACATTTCCTCATACTTTCTAGGATGAAAAGATATTTGACATTAATCTATTTACTGTAAGGGTCACAAGTACATACACACGTGTTACTATATAAACTTACACAGACAAACACACACACCCCTGGACAGACCTGGTTCGTACCGTACACGCATACTGACCCAGAAACACACTAGGATGTGTCGTCCTCTCTGAGAATCTTCTGATCAATTTTTTGGCACGTTTGCTGATGCTTGAAAAGCACATAATACACAAAGCATGAGGGCAAACAGTGAGAATCTGTTTGCATTTACTAGTTTGTCTGTGTGTATTTAGACTCCCTGATCCACTGGCAGGACAGTGAGTATGTGGCGGTGTTCCACCGAGGCCGTTATTTCCGCCTGTGGCTGTACCACGCCGGCCGCATGCTGTCTCCCAGAGAGATCGAGCACCAGATTCAGCATATCCTGGACGACCCGTCACCCCCGGCGACCGGAGAGGCCAAACTGGCAGCCCTGACGGCAGGGGACAGGTAGTGTCTGCTGACGCACTATAAAGAGTTTATTTGAAAACAAACATGCATGTGTTCCATAATGTAAAAAAATTTTAAATACTGCTTTTATAGAAGTAGGCCAAGAGACAGTCAATATAAATCAAGAATTAAGACCATTTTTATGGACTTAAAATTCAGTTTTAATTTATCATTTTCCAAAGCAGCTTCTGTATTATTATTGCTCATATTTAGTGTTAGTGATTTACACAAAACCTTAACCAAAGTATTAATCTTTGTAGGTTGTATTTATTAATAACTTCTTTATTCATAACAGTTTATTTATTTATTTATTAATCATATATATATATATATGTGTGTGTGTGTGTGTAAATATGTTAAAAAACTAAAATGTACTTTAGTATCCTTGTTTTTTTTTTTTAATCTTGTGAATTTTATTTTGTATTTTCAGTTTTCAGTGTAATTTTAAAGCTTTAGTAATTTTGTTGTGTTTTGTCTTTTTATTATATAAGACAAAAAATATTAAATATAACAACCCTGATTTTGGTATTTCAGATTTTTGGTATTTATATTAAGAATCCTTCCCTTTCACTGATATAAAACCTAAACATTATAAAATCTAAGTTTATTTTAGATTCTTTAGAATCTAAAATAAGAATCTTTAATGATCTTCTTTAGAATTAAGTTTAAATTATTTCTTTAAATTCTTGCTATGAATGCTCAGATGTTTTGAACTTAATTTCCCAGAATCCCTTGGGCTCAGGCCAGGAAGGAGTTCTTCAGCTCAGGAGTGAATAAGAGATCTCTGGACTGCATTGAGAAAGCTGCATTCTTCGTTGCCCTGGATGATGACGAACAAGGCATGATGGGAGATGATCCTGCCGGCAATTTGGATCGCTACGCCAAGTCCCTTCTGCATGGCAAGTGCTACGACAGGTGAGATGTTCGTCCATCAGTTATGTTACAAAGATGCTAAATGTAATCTGAACTGTAAATAGAATAAATTGTCTCTTACACTGCCAGACATGATAGTCTCTGTCTTTACTATGGCAGTGTTTTACACTGTGTTTGTGTTTCAGGTGGTTTGATAAGTCATTCACTGTGGTGTTGTATAAGAATGGGAAGAACGGCCTCAATGTTGAACACTCCTGGGCAGACGCACCTATAATGGCTCACGTGTGGGAGGTGAGAGACAGAATGAGTAAAAAAAGAGAATGTGTTTAAATAATAAAGAAATTAAGTATAATATCAGATAAGCTAAATAATGATGCTGGTGGTTCACAGGAATCATTCTTGTCTTAAGCGTAAGATGTCATAATCTAGTTTGAATTAAATCATTCTTACATAATAGGGAAGCAGTGAAAACAATAATCAGGTAGTTATTTTGTTAATGGCCGATATAAAAATTCTGCTCTATTTTGTCTAAATAAATAAAAAACTGTAAAAATTAAATTGATCATTTTAAATCCTGTTTAACAACTTTATAATGTGCAGTATTAAAATGTATATTAATTTAGAATTTTTCTAAAGATTACATTTAACTGCATTATGAACGTATTTATGTTTTTAAAAGTTTTACGAGTTTTAGATGATGGTGAAGGTAATCTAATTGTTAAATAAATAATATAAACTATTTTGAATTGGCTTTTATTTTTATATGTTCAGTTTTCTTTAATTTTAGTTTAAGTAGTTTTACATGCTTTTGTCTTTTTTTTATTTTTTATGTTTTGTTTTAATTTTAGTAATTTACTTTATTTCAGATATTTGCCAAGGCAATATTTCTAACTTTTGTTTACGTTTTTTAGTTTGTTTTTCATTAAATTTTTATATTTCATTTTAAGTTCAGTTAAATATTTTAGCTGTTTTAGTTAACAATACCAACACTGCCATCTGTTTGGTTAAGCTAACCCTTTAAGCTTACCTAAAACTTTCATTATTATTTTGCTGACTTGCATTGTTATTCAGTAAATGCAATGTAGTTGTCGTTGTTATGTTCTCTTACCCCGCTGTCTCTCTTTCTCTCTCAGTATGTGATGACTACCGATTGTTTCCAGCTGGGTTATACTGAAGAAGGTCACTGTAAAGGAGACGTCGCCTCCTCCCTTCCTCCACCTACTAGACTAACTTGGGACATACCTGCAGAGGTACAAACACACCGTCACACCTTCTCATGTTTACAGACATGCTGTAATCAGTTACCGCTAATGGACACATTGAATAATTCATCTTCCTGTATGTGTATTTAGTGTCAGGAGCGTATCGAACGCTCTCTCGCTGTGGCACAGACACTAGCCGATGATGTCGACTTTCATGTGTTGCCAATTCAAGACTTTGGCAAAGGTTCAATCAAAAAGTGTAAAATCAGCCCGGATGCCTTCATTCAGATTGCGCTACAGTTGGCCTATTATAGGGTAAGACTGAACCCACATAACACACAAACCACACGTAGTGTACTGACATCAGTTCTCCTCAAGTTCACACTAGTAGATTGTAGAGAACCACATTAATAATGAATATGTTCCACTAACCCTTCACAAACACCGTGACACAATACGTTTTGTTTTCATTTTTTCAACACTAGATGAATTGTTTTATCGTTTAACGTAGTTATCCTGACTTCGTTATTATATTACTTACATATATGACTTATATATATAATATTATAATATATTAAGATAAATATAAAAAAATAACAAGGTTAAAACATGTTAGAAACATACTAGGGCTGTAACGATTCACTCAACTCACGATGTGATACGATTCATGATACTGATTTCACGGTACGATTTTCTCATGATTTTTTTTTTTTAACAAAATGAGATTTAAGACAATTTATATATGAAAAGATGTCCTTTTATTATTGCTTGGACAAAATGCTGAACATTTCTTTGTGAAATTGAAATATTAAATTTTAAAACAAACCTCAAATCAAATAAATAGATAAAACAAAATAAATCTTTTCATATAAACAAACTAAGGCCTGTGCTCTTTCCATTCAGTTAGAGGCAACCACTGTATTCATGATCAGAGCTGGCACCAGCGCAGCACTGATGAGGGGGCGGCTGAGGTAACGAAAGGGGGTGATGACGTAGCATAAAGTAAAAAAATAAAATAAAACATATGTGGCCCATTCACATATTTGTCGGACCATAAACAAACCTGCCCGCTACTATTACAACTATTAGAATGGTTCACACAGATAGTGTTGTGGTCGCAAGACAGGATTTTCTAAAGCGCAAGGTCTAGAGACGTGTTTTTAGAAGCTGAATTTCTTTGAACTTGAGTGCCGTTTTAGAATGACGTATGCGGGAGAAGCTGCTATAAAGACCTGAGACAAGAATGCAGCATTCAAACACAAATTCAAAGACGTCCATAGTAGCGAATATACTTTGAAATACAATGGAAAAGTACCGCAGTGGAATGAAACATGCGTTCTGAGTGAATGACACTACTAAAAGGTACTTACAAAATCGCATAGCCAACAAATTCGGAAATCTGACATCCAGGAAATAAATGTCTTGGGCAGCAGTTTTACCACAAATACAGACACCACCAGAAATACTTAATTGTGTCTGCTTTACAATGAGAAACAAGCTCATTGCAACCGATTCCCTGACCCTGACATAAGACATTCATTACGACCAATATCATTTTAAGTTAGAACAAACGAAATAATCAACTATCTACGATCCTCTAGCCCTCTATTAAACATAAAAAAATTATTTCATCATACCTTTAACTTACTCAGTAGTGCTGTATTCTTAGTTGCACGGCTTGCGCAGGAAGTTTGTGTGTCAGATGTAACATGTAAAATGCGACTTTGTGAAGCGGACTGTCCTTAATTGTTGCTATAGTAGCATCATATTAATGCTAGAAAGTCTATGCATTTGGCAACTGTATTTTTTTTTAAATAAACCATTATATTTCATAATTAAAATCTATTTTCACACTCGTCTTGAGTGAGGGGGCGGGATAGTCCGACTGAGGGGGCGACACCCCCTCATATTAATCAATTAATAATTGATAATTGATCAAACGATAACATTCTTCTGTTCTCGTTCCTTCCTCACATCCAGAATCGAGGCTCGTTCACTCTGACCTATGAAGCGTCTATGACCCGTCTATTCCGCGAGGGCCGGACTGAGACGGTGCGTTCCTGCACCAGTGAGAGCTGCACCTTCGTCAGAGCTCTGGAGGGCGGAGAGGTAACCAACATATACACTAATATATAAACATATTGATGAAGAACAGTTCCAGTACACACATGCACACATTATTCTGTTATGGTCTGTTTTTGTAGTGACATAAACATTTGTTAAATGCTGTTAAATGTATCACCATGAGTGATGCAGGTTAAGATTATAGCCATAAAAATGCATTTAAAATGCTGTAATTACTGTAATTTTCCAAATTTAATAGAATAAGTACTTTTATTTTGCGTTTGATTACTTCATTTCACACTGTGTTGCTACATTGTGAATCGTTTAAGAACCGTTAGTTCACAAATTGAGCACAAATTCAAATAAAAGTGCTTATGTAAGCATCTCTCTGTGTCTGTAGAGTAAGGAAGTGTGTCGGCATCTCTTCCGTACGGCGGCTGAGAAACACCAGCATCTGTACAGGATGGCAATGACAGGAGGAGGAATAGACAGACACCTGTTCTGCCTCTACATTGTGTCCAAATACCTGGGAGAGGAGTCACCTTTCCTTAAAGAGGTGTGTAACACTGGGAAGGGCTCCGCAGTTACAATATATCTGCTGAACAAGGAAGTTTAACTGTATTTTGCTTCCGTGCAGATGCACTTGCATGTGTGTCATAAGTGAAAGAAACAATTGCGCAAAGGAAATTTCCTCATTCTTTCCCACATTTAGAACTTTTTTTTGCATTGTGACTTTGTGTTCATGACAGTTCTCATTACCATTAGGCAAAAAATCTCATTCTTGTTACTGAAATAATGCTTAAATAATAAAATATTCATACAATTAAAAAAAAAAAAAAGATGTGTAATATTATGATGTAATATTAAATTTGTGTGTGTTTTTTCTTCAGGTGCTTTCAGAAACTTGGCGCCTCTCCACCAGTCAGACTCCTCTTCAGCAGGTGGAGCTGTTTGATTTTGTTAACCACCCTGACTACACCACCTGCGGTGGAGGATTTGGCCCGGTCAGAAATATTCATGCATATTCACGAATTTACTCTTAAACCATTGGTACTTTTTTTGTGTGTGTGTGTGTGTGTGTGTGTGCATTTAATCTATTTTCATTTGTGTGCTCTTGGCAGGTTGCAGATGATGGTTACGGCGTGTCTTACATCATCATCGGAGAAAACATGATCAACTTGCACATTTCCTGCAAACACTCTTGTCCTCAGACTGTTAGTACACCGTGCTTTCATTAACAATTTTCTGAAACCATAGGAAAAGAAAAAACAGCGACTAGCGAATGAATTGACAAAATGTCTTTCTTAAGTTGGTTAGGATCTAAACTACTTAACCTCAAGTGGTTCCAAACCTGTATGAATTTTGTATGTACAGAATCTTCTGTTGAACACGCACAAAAAAAGATATTTGGTAACCAAACAGTTGCCAGTAGCCATCGACTTTCATAGTATTTTTTTCCATACTTTTAAAGTCAATGGCTACCAGCATCTGCTCCTGAAGTAATCAACAAGACAGCAAAAACTGTGTTTGTAATGAACAAATTGATCATTAAGATGTCTTTAACTTCAAACAGTTGCTTCCGGCTAAAATACAAGTGCATAATCCATAATATTTGCTTTCTCCAGTGAAAATGTTGTCTGAATCAGGAGAGAAATATGCACAGATGAAGCACTGTTTACAAGAAAAAAACTGTTCTAAATAAATATGTTATGGATTATGGACTCGTATTTTGGCCAGAAGTGACAGTTTAAAGTTAAAATGCCTTAATGATGGATTTGTTTCTTACAAACACACATCTTTTAGCTTCACAAGACATTAACTGATGGACTGGAGGGGTGTGGATTACTTGTGGATTATTGTGATGTTTTTATCAGCTGTTTGGACTCTCATTCTGACGGCACCCATTCACTGGAGAGGATCCATTGGTGAGCAAGTGATGTAAATTTCTCCAAATCTGATGAAGAAACAAACTCATCTACATCTTGGTTGGTATTTCAATATATTTTCATTTTGGGTAAACTATTCATTTAAATTACTGTCAGAATAATTAAAAGAAAACATGAGGTATTATAATATGAATAAATAGACAGATAGAGTTGAGAGGCAGGATATATTCCTGTAACTATACTACTGTAACCACTATATGATTGAACAATTGCTGTATTAGACATAACCTAACAAAAACGATTACATTTTACGTAGGACATGAAGGTGGTGACTGATTTCACAGGTGAATTAATGAGATGCTCATCAACATCAAAAATGTACAATCACTGTACAGTCTGCATTAATGCTGTATTTCACGAGGATGTGTTGTTGCTGTAGGCCCTTTGCTTCACTTGGCTGGACTGAGAGCAAGGGCTTCTAAACTTCCTTGGTAGTTTTTCCATTTTGTCTTTGCAATCCGTTGGCAGCTCTACTCTTTATTGTCTCTGTCGCCCTCATATTTGGCACTTTAAACAATATAAAGTTGCCTTTCAAGTGCACAAGATCTCATTTGCACAACTAGATAAGGTCATTGTGGAAATATTATATATATATATATACTTCAAAAAGTTCTTGTAATTTTTCTGTACTGCCTAACACTGCTTGAGTTTAAACCTTACTGAAGAATTGTATCATTGTTATTATATTATTGTCACTATTCTAATAATTAACTTGAAACTGAGAACAGTATCAATGCAAGTGTTTATGTAGTGCTGATATTAGTCTGGAGCGGCAGTGTTTTACCTCATCTGTCTGATGAATGTTGAATCATCCAGTGATCGATCTCTCTTTTCTCCCGGGCCAGTACTGTATTCTGTATCTGCCTGACTGTTTCTCTGATTTTCTGTACACTAATCTGTACACCGCAGAGCTTTACACTTTCTCTCTTCCTCTGGCAATCTGTCATTCCTTGACATTTTGTATGTGAATGAAAAGGAAGAGACAACAGGTCATTTTTTTTAATTAAAATTGTTCAAGCACACAAGTGTTTGTGGTTTTATTATAATGATGTTTGTTGGTATAATATCTCAGTGTCAGAGTCCATCAGTTTTGTTTCCGTGTGAATACTGCATATACATCACTGCTTTGGTTATGCGTTACTGTGAATCCTGATTCTTCAGCAATCTCCTTCACTTTGTCAGTAAAACCTGACACTTGCTCTTTTGAAAGGTCCAACAGGAAGCTGAACAAGAAAAACAGAGGTCATGAACATTTAATGGAGATTTGCTTACAAGCTGTGTGTCAAAATGTTGCCATGAGCACAAATCTAAGTCATTGGGTTAGAAGGTTTGGGAATTGCGTGTCTGTGTGTGATGATGGACTCACTTTGCTAACTCTATTACCAGAGCAGCATCAGGTGCTGTGATCTCTCTCAGAGAAGAATCCAGCTGATGAACCATACTGAGAAAACACAGAGATCGTGTTATTCTGTATGTCTGCAGATATTTTTGACACAAACCCAGACACTGTTTCTGTAAGCTGCATATGAACAGGCTTCACCTGGCTGAACAGTAGATGGTGTTAAACAAGTTCCTGTATTTCTTTTTGAGAGGAAGTTTGCTGAGCGAGTCTGGAGACAGAAATGTCACTTTCACTCCATCCACACTGAGCAAATCTGCAAAAACACACAGAAATATATTGAGAACGGTTACTTACAACTATAAACTGTTTTGTGGCTATTAGTATATTAACTATTTGACATAAGACAATGTTACCAAGCACTTGTGTCTGTTGTTCTGCTGGATGTTGCTCAGGTTCTGTGTGAGTTTGAGAAGCAGGTGGATCATTCTGTATCTTCTCTTCTGTTATGAGACTGTCTGTGGATTGACAGCAGGAAGTTGAAGGGTTTGGTGGTTCATATTCATTCAGTAAAGAGCTCCCTCTAGTGGAAAGACATTCAAATAATGCCAGGACGTTCACTTCTGAAATATCCTGAGCCGTCTGAGAGAGAAAGATGGCCAGAGAAGGGTAAATCATGGTGCAAATGAAAACGCCGTTTACATCTGTAATTTTGATTGGGAGGTAATTAACTAGTTCATTCACCTTCACATGTTGGTTGTTCTGTTTCTTCAGCAGATCTTTGTTTTCTGTCTCTATGCCGAAGGACAGATATGGACTGGAGACGATGTCGCCCCAATAGCCTCTAACAGCAACCCGATCTCGTCTCTGGTACAAACACAGAGATTTACAGTTGCATGACAGTCTATCATGGGCCGCACAACAACAACGACTATTATAGCAGAAAGTCAATCTACTCACATGATTGAACACTCGCGTGGAGAGCAGACTCTGATTGGCTGTTTGGTAGAGCCCCTCCCTCATCTCAAAAGCCACACCGCTTTCCCTCCACTTCACATACTGATGTTTGCTAATGACACCACACTGAGAGAGAGAAATCACAGAAAAATCAATGATACTAAAATAACACTGCAATGAGATTGGTGTCACTTCATAGATGGAAACATGGAATGCTATGAATCGTTATTTGTAATTTAGGTGCTAGTAATTCAAAAATGACCTATAAACTCACATTTGTAACAAAATATGGCCTGAAATAAGCCTATTTGCCAGATGTCTGTGTAACATAGTTAAATTGAGTTTTTATTGCACTGCTCTGATTGGCTGTCAGGAGTAAAGGTGTATAATAGTGTCTCATCTGGTACTGGTACATACACCGCTCTGGTGCAGTTTCATAGTGAGATCCCAGTCGAAACAGCCCTGCCGTGAGTCATAGCGAGTCCCCAGGTGCTGCCGAACACGGGCATCCCAGACCTTGCGTACACTTGCTGGAACTGACGGCGGTCGTTCCCACAGTTTAAAGATCCGGACCAACTCATCTCTCTCCTTAAACTATGATAAAACAGCAGATGAGTCGATATTACTGAGCTGAATTTGGTTATGACATGCAGCATAAATGCAAATATAACAGATGAATGTATGCTGGACCTTCAGAAGGCTTGTATCAAGGCAAGGATGGGTGTGCGAGTCCGAGAACAGAGTGTTTGTGATAGACAGAGAGAGTTGAGCTGCGGCGAGTTTTAACGTTTCTTCTGTCTCTTTGCGAATCTCAGAGTTTCCAAACACCTCCAGAAACACTTCTGTCTTCTCTGGAAAATACAACACGGAGCGTTGTACAACAGTACAAGCATGAATGCAGTGACATTTATAATGTACAAGAAAAAATCATAAAATAATTTCTCCGGAGATATTTTTTATTTATTTGTATTCCTTTATTTTCTACATCTTTCTAGACCTTTGAAATGTCGATTGTATATAAAATAATAATTGATTATTTATAATGTCTTTTATAATTAATTTAAAAAATATTTTTCATTATTTAGATATTAAGGTACATACTGTGTAAACTCATGTTCTCAGGGGTCAGAAGTGATAAATAAAGTAGTACTAGCTGTCTGGCAACCACCTCCATGCTGTTCTCAATCACCCAAACCTGCAACAAACCACACATCTCATCATTAACACTGTTACGGGGCAGACAAGACGTGAGACGTACGGATCCATTTGCAAACTTTATTCAAAGGCGTGGTCAGAAACAGGCATGGGTCAGACAATGGCAAACTGGTATGGAGAAGACAAGGCAAGGGCAATCTGGTAAACAAGCGAGGGTCAGTCGACCGCAAACGGAATCCAACAGGGCGAGACTAGAGGGATAAATCCAGGTACACAGGCAAAGATCAGAACATAGGAAAACAGACAAAGCAAGACTCCGCTAAGGCTAGGAAAACTAAGCAGGCTCCGTAAGGTAGCTATCAGCTAAACAATGATATTCGCTAAACAATACTCAGCAGTTTGACGGGGATAAGAGTGAGTGTTATATAGGGAAGGTGTGATTGATGACAGCTGTGTGCAATCAACTGTGTGTGTGTGTAATCAGTGCAATGGATGATGGGAACTGTAGTCCGGGTGAAGTGCAACAGTGGTGTGGCAGGGCTCGACAGTGCGACCGAAAACTACTGGTGCGACTATGAAATTTATTTTAGGAGCACCAGTGCGACTGACCCGATCATCATCATACTTGTGATCTGGGTGTGGTGCAAGAGTCCATAGTAGTGGAAGGGTGACCTCTGGTGGCGAGCAGACGGAAGTTCAAGGACCGGATTCGTAACAAACACATTAAAATGCATAAAAGAGCTGATTTTGTACTATGTGATTAATCTCAATATGCTATATGTAAAAGAATCACTCACATGTAGTGTGTCTGAGTCTGTCAGTCCAGTGATGGTCTTCAGGA